GTGTTTGTAGATAGGGCAAAAGGATTAAGCGTTTTGAACGATGAAACTATCGTATAAAACCACGCGTGCTTGACCTATTACAACTTTTGTTTACTGGAAGGCTTGCTCTCCAGTTTTGTGTTGCTAAGCGGTATCCAAGCACGTGACCACTAGCTGCAAAGGGCCTATACCAATTGAATAAAATTACTTTATTTTTATTTATTCCTAAGCTGAATTACAGTGTGTATGCTGGTAAAAGCGGCATTACCATATTTTCTGAGCGTAGACTTTTTTTCTTTATTTTTTTGATATTACATCATAGACTTATAATTCTTTTTACGCCAACCACTTTGAATTGCTAAGTAACGTATTGACCGTATTAACATATTCAAGTGAGGCTAAACTTTCAAAGACTTTACAATTACTTCTCATACTCATTAATACTCATGAGGGAACCAGCCAATCAATGGGCTATTTTTTGGGTCAAATGATGTTACTTGAAACCTGGTAAAGTCCTGTGTAAGGACTGAATTAATTTTGTTCCAGTCCTTGGACTGGATCAAAATTAATTCAGTTCAGGGACATATCTGTCCCTTAAGTCTTTCAATCCTAAACAAATAACCTCCAGAATTATAAATGAGTATGAGAAGTCATTTCAAAGCCTCCAAATCGGACTGGACGGGATTTCAAGTCCTTGCAATTAGTTCCAGTTCTCTGCTGCGGAATGGAACTAAAAATTGCGCGGACTTGAAATCCCGTCCAGTCCTCATTGTCGGCTTTGAAACATTACTTAATTGTTATCAAATGTTACAGTTTATTTTCATGTTTATAGTCACTCATAAAAAATTCTACCAGGAGAGATTTTTGTGCGCGCGAGTGAGTTCTAAACGCGAGGTAGTTATTTACAACATATGTTATAATGCAAACAATAGCTTCTATTCTTATGTTTGCCCAACTCAGCAAGTTTTTAGACTGGTTTGTACAATATTGACGCATATCAAGCTTTACTCTCTATGATAGTGTCGAAGTTGGAGTAAAGAAAGCTCACTCCATATATGGTATGATCAATTCCATATTTGGCTTATACAGAAAAGCGGCAAACAAAGAGGTCATCGTTTTGTAACGAATTCGACATTAACATTTTTGAAGAAGAAAGAAAAGAAAAGAAAAGAAAAAAAAAAATACAAGTAAAAAAAGAAAAATTTTGGAAACGGGGACGATGCTAACTCATGGACAATCGACGACACTCAATGTTTGATATGCTAACAAATACAGCAACAAGGCAGATACGACCATGAATTGACGTCTCTTCAAACTTCAGTGTATGCTGGCTTAGCCTCGATTCCAGGAGTCGCTTGTTTTGTTTTCTGATTTCTGCATTTTCTTCTATCTTAGGAGTGAGGCTAAACCCAAATGTCTGGAGTTTCAAGAGTCGTCAATATGCAGCATATAAATACCATACTTACTTACTTACAACGGTTTTATTTTGAACTCTGCATGGGGGAATGTTTCAGGATACGCTCAGCAAATACTTAGATACAATCTCACCACAAGTCCAAGGATGTGAAATATATTGTTTTTATCTCCATAGCAACTATACGGACCCACAAAAAAGTCATAAACATGCTCGTCATTGTCATCGTGATATTTGCAGTTTGTTGGATTCCTTATCACGTGCTATTTCTATATTTGGACGAGGCTGGCTTCACGACAACCAAGGAACAAACTATTCTAGCTCTTTTCTTCCAGTGGCTAATGTACGCAAACAGCGCCTGCAATCCCATTGTGTACGCGGTCTGTAACTTGAATTACAGGCGCGAGTTTCTGGACATGATCAAGTGCATCGGGGAAAGCTGATTCACGAAAGTTATGTTTATTGGGAAAAGAGTATTTTTAAACATTTTATGCCTTGCTGATGCTGATAGCCCTAATTATGGAACTAATCGATCAAAATATGAGCATTATAAATAGTCAAAGCCATAGTTGCTTAAAACATAAGTAATAACACAATGCAGGTATGACAACTCTTAACTCTTTACAAGCCTAAATGTTTGATACCAATAAGTATATATTGATCTTGGAATAGAACGGTGCATTATCAATGAAAAAAGAGAATGATATGAAGTAATTTATCTGCATCATTTGTTTGAAACAATTTAAAAGACGACATCAAAAACATGACTTCTTATTCATCATCATTTTGATCAACATCATTAACAACTACAATATACCATCATCACCATCATAATTGTTTAAAACAACATAGAAGGCGACGTCAAAACAGCATAACATCTTCGTCATCATCACTTTCATCAATATCATTAACAACTACAATATACCATCATCACCATCATAATTGTTTAAAACAACATAGAAGGCGACGTCAAAACAACATAACATCTTCGTAATAATTATCATCATTACGAACATCATAATTAATTCATCAACATGATTAACAACGACTATATACCATCATCATCAACATCATCATCATCATAATCGTTTAGTAAAACAATATATAAAGCGAGGTCAAAAAACCTAAAATCTTTCTAATAATCATCATCATTACGATAATGATTATCATTATTACCATTATTTTAGACCCTGACAGCATTGGCCAGACCAACATTCAGACCTTAAAATATCTGAGTAGAAGGTGCTGCCTTTGCTCTGGAAAATGGTTAGACCTTTACTGTGACCGTATGATTACGCAAAATTGCGGTCCCGTCTTATTTAGAGAAATTAAACGTAGATGGTCACAAGTTAATCAGTGCTAAGTTGGCAACTGTCTCGTGCCACCCTCTCTAAATCAGATAAAAAATCGAGGTCGATTATCATTTTCATCGACATCGTTAACAGCAACATCAATAAAAAAATCAACAAACGAATACTAATATATTGATAGTAACAAATATGCTCAGAAAAAATATATAAAATTATTTTTATTACATAGTTTTAAAAGAGAGTCTAATCCTTCCTTTATTAGATAAAGTGATGATATATGTATATGACAAATCAGTATGAGTACTATTTCCCAGAGAACCTATATTGAGTGATGTGACTTTCAGCTATCTCCATGTATTTCCTTAGATGTATTTGATTATCAGGATATAATTAATACCATTATTGTAAGTAGCAGTTTTCATAGTATTTGGCCTACGAAACCTCTCATTAATGACTAATGTAATCTTTTAGATTAATTCAAAAAATAATCCCAATATTCAGTTATTAAATACTTATTAGTTAGTATAATTTTAGACCTGAATATAGAGTTTCGCGCAGGTGATTAGTCGAGCGACCAGTGATTATTAGACGATATTCATTTTACTTTCAGTGAATAATCCTTAATTGATATTTTATGTTATTTACTCGTTTAGCTCACCAAAGGCGATGATTTTAAGACTGATCCATCACATGACGGCGGCCATGCTGGATGACAGGAATATTAGAATCACTAGCCTGGGATTAAAATTTGATGGTTTTTTCATTAATCATGGCTGCCAGTTATCGACGTTTTTGATTGTGTTCGCATATCTTAGGTTATTACTGCGGTTTTCGATATTCTGTGAACACAAAGACTTCAACCGCACCTTGTTGTGAAATTGGTTTTTACTACCGCCAGTCGAGAACATAAATGGTACCGACTGAGTAAGTTTGGCAGAATATCGAAAATCGCAGTAAAGCGTTGGACAAATCATATTCAATGATCAGGATAAATAAAGTACTAAAAATAACATAAATAATGTTTCTTGCAATCCAGAGAAACGTTGATTAAATCTATGGAACCCAACGAAAGCATATTTTATTTCCTATCATCGTAAGCTTTAGTATAATAAACAAAATAAACTGTCAAGAACAAGGTGTACGTCAGAGGAAAAAGAAAACGGGAATACTGGTCGAGACGGTGAGGGCCATTAGGAGGTTTTGGGATCAAGGATGTAACATCGCTGTCATTTTCTTTCCGTGGTTGGCAACTGTCAATTTTCCCCCTGAATGAGAGAGGATTGGTGCGATTAAAAACTTGAAGCTTACTGGATCTTTCTTTGAGAGGGATTCCATTGCCGTTCTCCAAGTCTTGAATGGAGCTCTTGAAGTTATAGCTCTTATTTCCCATCGAAACAGTTACTAGCATTGGTTGTTTTTCCTAGAAAAAAAAGTCAGAAAAATTAATCCTCGAATAATGTGCGCTTGCTTTAGTTTCTTCGTATGATGTGCGCCCGCAATCGTAGTAGAACCTTTTGCATGGCTTTCTCTTTTAGTACCTTACTTCTAGAGCTGCCGAGTACATCCATAGGTCAGCAAAAAAGTAAAACCGTCAAGTGTACTTTGTTTACTTTACGACTTTTTTAAAGGTCATGTCGATCAATGCGTCAACAAGATAGCCGCCATTATCCTTTTTGTTGTTTTTGAATTGCAAGTTGTACGCAATAATTGTTACTCACCATTTCGTCGTCTGATGATAACAATGAGTTTTTCTTGACGAGATCCTTTGCCTTTTGAGAATACTTCAAAACCAGTACATATTCAATAAGAGTGAAAAATATAAATACAAATGAAACCAACAGAAAATAGTCGATGCTCTTGAGGTACGACACTCGAGGCATGTTCGCATTCACAGATCCCCGCATGTAGCTAATAGTCAAAACAGTTGTGATGCTGAGGCCCACTCGTGCTGGGATTGCTTCATGGTTAATCCAAAAACTAACCCATGACAAGGCAGTTATACAAACACAGGGGATATACATTTGGAATATGTAGTAAGACGCACGACGCTTGAAGACGATGGTTGCCGTCAAACCAGAAAACATATCTGACAACATAAAAAGGAATAAGTCATCTCCAAGAGAGTAAATGTTACTAAAGCAAAGGACATTATGACCAAAACGTAGGCTATGAGAAACCAAAATATAAAATTTTACAGTACATCTTCTGTAATCGGGATCATTTACACAGTTAGCCAATCAAAATGTAGAATGAAAACACACTTTGGGTAGTGGAAACAATCAGAAACCTAGGCTGTACGGAATGGTAATTTGACCCTGATTTTACGTGTAAACTACTAGATATAGCCATCTTCGTTTTTTTCTCGTGTCAATAAAAAAAGATATGTTGAAATTAAGGCTACTGTTTTCTGTTGGTTTCTGATTGGCTCCACGGTCCAAAGTTGGAATGCATCATTCTAAATTTCGACTGGTTCCGTTTTCTTAGTAGCCCAGTTTCAGTAGTCGCACTGTAATAGAGCTTTTGCAGCCATAGTGTGCGTGAAGTGAGTGGCACCATATTACATGCTGCCGAAGGTTATTTTTAGATTAATTGTTTCTTGATTTTACTTCTTGCATGATATTTTTAATAACTTGGACACCGGTAGAGCATAGGCCAATCATAGAGGACACGATGCGTACTGGCGGCAAAAGGTTTGAATTCATGACCACAGCTGTGATGTCAGACTGAGCATTACAAGAGCATCAGCAGCCCACACCACTCATGATTATCATGATTTATATTTATCCTGACATCTTTAAAATATCTTACTACGTTGTTTTCACAAGTAAATTTTACCTGAGTGATACACTTCGTGTTTGAGGTATCGCTTTGCGCTGATGATATCAAACTGGGCCATTTCTCTGTCGTACACCCCAATATCACTGCCAACAGACTGATTTCTCCAGCTATATTTGAGATCCTTTTCTGAATAAGAAACTAAAAAGAAATATAAAATAAGAGTCAAATCCAACTCAGAGTGGTCTATCATCAATGCTGCGTTCTGACTGGATGAGCGACTTCTAGACTATCACTGGGCTATTGGCTATAGCCTATTTGGGCTTGAGTACTAATTATTAAATAGTATAACTAGTCAAGTCACTAATAATATAAATTTAGGCACGGTCTAACATCGGAGCTCCCATTGTTTTAGATGCAATTAAAATAAAATTTAATGGCGAAAATAAAATCGGGAAAATTATTTAACTATTTTTATTCTTCCAGATAAAGATAATGTCTCCCATAATGAGAGCAGTAAAAAAATCCAATCAAAATGCCCAACATCCTTTTCTTTGCGAGTCTTTATTTTCACCTTAGTCCTCTCCCAGTTTAGAAGCTTTGACAAGTGTATTCTTTGATAAACATCATTTGAAATAATTCTTCGATAACGTTTTCCGTGGAAGACATATTCAGGCTTTAAATTGATGGCTAGTTTTACTCGAAAAACGAAAGATAGCTTCAGCTGATGTAACACAGTATTGAGTTCAATGAAATTTACCTAGAATGCATATGTGTTTCATTCAAATCCGAAATTTGGAGACTGCCAAACTTCTTGCAGGACAAAACAACATTAAACAGACTTGAAAACTGGTAAAAAAGTACTGAGCAAAATATAAGTCGGCTGCTACTTCTTTTACATATAACACTGCTTGGGCTTCTCGAATATGAAAAGGTTCTGAAAAAGTCGCTCCATCATGGTCTCATGAAGGTCACATCCAGTAAAAGGACCTTATTTAAGTCTCCGAATCTTTTTTATTTATATATTTTTGTGTTGATATTACCAAATTATTGTGCATTTGCAAGAAGTTTGGGTTTGAAATCAACCGGGAATGGGAATTCTGTGGTGTGTACAAGGACGTACGTAGGGACGGAAGTGATCTATTCAAGCCTTGAAAAATCAACTCGATGGGTTACCCTTTTTTTCTTAAGTATGGTGCTCCGTTGTAACATGTATCGACGACGAAGTTAATTTAGTTCAGTAAATACTCTTGTCCGATGAAGATGAAGATTGCTTAACTGCTTTAAAACGCTGAATGTTAAGAACAAAGACATCCTTTCAAACATGGCGCCTCATTTGCATACGCTCGTAATCACTGAAGCACGCGGGAAGTTTGAAAATTTTGACTCCATTTACAAAAGAATGAGTCAATTTTGCGACAGACACGTTAATACAAGACCACTTTTCTTGGACTTGCGTTAACAAAACACCGGGCTTGCGGCTTGAAAACTAAAGTTGAATTGTCAAAGTAATACTTCGCAGTTAAAAAACAGAGATTAGAACGACATAAATAGTATCCATTTGCCTTCGAAAACCGGTAATTATAACTATAAGATACCGTATTCGAGTATGAGTTTACTCTTACTAGATCTATGAATCACTGGAATCATGAGTGTTATTCGGATTGTTTATAGTTTTTCCCCTTGGCAAAGAATAAACTATAAGATGCCGTATTCGATACGTATTCGTATTAAGATACCCTATGCCGTAAAAGTACAAGAATCTTGTCAATCATGAGATGATTGACAAGATACTAAATATTCTGTTTGAGTCATATGCAGTTCACGTGACGGCAATAACCAATAACAATGCGCCATTGGGATGCTTTTATTTCAGCGCGCCTATTTTGAATATGTCCTTAAAACAATAGGCATTCTGCGCCATGAGAAAAAAAAAGGGTCCTCATTTTCTTGAATTAATTAAAGTCTTTTATAAAAAAATAATAAATAAAATATTAAGAAATATGTAACGATATAGTAAACAAAGAAAAAGAACAAAGTACTCTTAATACGGTGAGAATCGAACCCGCGTCCACTAACTTTAATTAGATAATTAATTCCAAAATTCAGAAGAAAAAAACAGTGCCTTCATGCCATACCCCTAGACATCCGCTGGGTCATCGTATGGACTTCGGACTTGACGGCGATTAAGTCCCTCTACCCTTGGGTGTACGGATTACGCAGATTGTGTTCTAGCAGAAGCATCAGGGGAGAGACTAGCCGGCCCCCAGACCATATCTACAGCTAATCCCTTGCACTCTGCCACGCACTGGCACGTTGATTTGAAGTGGAAAATAACCTAGTCTATCTGGTGCATTGTTTTCATGGATATTGGTGTGTTAATTTCCTAAAATCGTAGCCCAGTGGAAAAAAGTTGGGCTTCCAAGACACTGGGTCAAGCACGTTTGAGTGAGATTAGTACGTGGATGGGTGACCTGAACTTTATAGTAACCCAAAACTGTTTTTGAAATTAGTTTTTATCTTATTTTATTTTACTTTATTTTTTATCTTAAGATAATTTTATTTATGTTTTTTGTAAGATACTTGAATAGATATAAACCTTATAAATGTTATTTTCCACTTCTGATTTTACTAATTTTATTAATTTATTTAAGTCGATATTTATACAGGAACTTCAAGTTTTGGTTTTGTCAGTTTTCAATGTTTTTATTAGGTATTTTTTGTGCATAAGAACTGATTCCATTAAGCTAATGGTATTTAAAGGTTGAAAGTCCCGGGTTGAAAGAAAAACAAGTTCAATAGGAACCAAATTTTTTTAGTCGACAAACTAGGAGCTAAAGTTTCAGAAAAATGTAAGCCTGCATTCAGAGCTCATTTCGTCTAATCATGCCGGCTGGAAAAGGTACATAAATGGAGAATACTTGGTGTAATATGTATTCCTTTTTATATTTCATTCAACATTTGAATACATTGTCTATTAAAATATTAGAACTATTGAAAGAAAGACTAATTTGATTTGCCGATAGGAACGAAACACTTGAAAAAAGAAACACTTTAAGATTAGAACACTTCTTGATCCACCTTTGACTACATAAATGTTTTTTATACTGCTTTTCTTCGTCCAAAATTTGTTCCAAGGCGATGTATATATATATAGGTTTTTGTGCATTAGCGAGTGTTAAATGGAAATCAAGCGGCGAAAGTCCTGTGGTGTATACACATACAAATACGGAAGTGACGTATTAATCAAGTCATGAAAAATCAGTTGGATGGTTCCAATTTTTCTTAAGTATGGTGCTCCGCTCGCGCGAGCCTTCGGCCCGCGTGGGAGCTCCGCTATTTAAAGAAATAATCACTTACAACTTTCGAAAGCAAGATGGCATGTCTGCTCGTCCAATGGATAATTCCTCAAGTCGAACTTACAAGAATTTCTGCTGACCAACCTGCAATGAATTAAACGAGAAAATCAAAACATGTACCGATGTGGAGATTTTAATTGTTTTTAAATTTAGTTTTTTTTTACTTGAGCTTTCTCACTTTTTGATATAAACCAAATTCAAAAATCATTGACAGGTTCAAAAAGGTTAAACCATAAAAGCTAGTAACGCCGGGTGTTCAGGGTAAACGGGTAATGAATATAGTATTATAAAGGACGCTGTTTGTAGCATTTTTATTTCCTGTCGAAGAAGTCAACCACGTTGAGGGCAGCGCGCAGACGGAAAAAAAAAGCGCTGCGCCGTCGTCTCAGTTGACGTTCGCTTCTTCATGTTAAATCGATCTCTCTATTGGTTTAAACGTTACCCAAGAAAGCATTTTATCACTCTTCATGCATGTGTCCTTGGGCAAACGCACTCTAAATGTCCAGGATATCGACTACCCAGGATACCTCTCGGTCTTAGCTTCGAAGATTTATTTTTTTCCATCCTTCCATCCGACAACGATTTTTGAATTTAGGGTAGTGCTTCTGGGATCCAGAAAGCACCGGTAGAACAAACACCCATTTCTATAAGGTCTTTTTACGTACAGAGTTGAAACGTACCTTGCACTCAGCATCATGGTGCCGTTCTTCAAGTTTATCCAGACCTTCTTATTAGTAAACATCATAGTCTGTATCTTGCTTTCAATGGAATTCACAAAGAAAGTGTCAGGAACCCAAAGCTTTTCAAATGCTTCTCCTCCGAGAATGATGATCCTGTCCAGACCAAATGCGAGCCGAGGGTCCTGCCAGAACTGACCCAGGTACATGTCTACGCTGTACTCCTGAGGGATAAAATGGAGTACCTCTCCGTTTGATGTGACTTCTATTGTCTGTATATAGTGAAATGTATGAAGGTGGATGGTATTTTTGATACCATCCATACTGACGCATGCGTAGAAACATATAATGATATACATTTATATAGCGCAGATATATGAAGGTATCTCTGCACTTTAAAATAATAGTAAGAAGAAGAAGAAGAAGAAGAAGAAAAAAAAAAAAAAAATCAAWAAATAAATAAATCACATAATGGATTTAATCATGAAACACCTTGTAGCAATATGTAATTTGCAGGAATACTCCCATTTCGAATTGGCATTTGCTCAGTCTTAGCAACAATTGTGTTCTTTTTACCGCGATCCCTGTGGTATTAAATCGGCCATAAAATACCTTTGTTTTTGTATTTTTCCCTTACTGATTCCTATGCGACAAAATGAAAAAAATGCGCAATAGTACTCAGGAGTCTTCGGTAACTTACCCAGGAGACCTTTGCGGGCTTTCGCTATAGGGTTCCAGTTAGGGCTGTCCACAAGTTGCTACGAAAACTCAAAAAGTTGCTCAAAACTCTAAAATTTGCTTAAAAATTGCCAGAACACTGTTCACAAAATCTTCAATTTTTTACTATAAATTGATAAATTTACCTATAAAAGGATTGTCTTTTTCAGCTTTAATAACTTCAATAACTTTTTAAACTTGAACGTACAATATTTTCTTGTCTTTTTCAAAACTCAATGCTAAAAGGTCAATATTACTTGACTACTGTTGTGTACTGTTAACTATCGAAGCATCTGTTATGCATCTTCTTCTTCCGAATCAGCCGATGCATCCGCTATTTTGTTTTAACAGTAAAGCCGCTGACTTTCTGATCGCATGCATAGATTACCACAGGCAACCTATGTTTAAATTGTACAAATTAGCTACTTTTGAAACTTTGAACGACAAGAAAACAACTTATATTCTGTTATTGAGCCTGATAATTTGCTATAACTCGAGATAAATTACAAACAAGAGTAATATTTGCTCAATATTAAAAAAAGTTGCTTATAAGGAAAAAAGTTTCCATTAATTGAAAAAGTTGCTCGAAATCGTAAAAGTTGTTCAAAAGTTGCCGAGCAACTTGTGCACAGCCCTAGTTCCAATCTATAGTCCAATCAATTAGCTTGTATTCAGCTGTCATTCAATGTCACTATGTTGCCAAGTGATAATGAAATGGCGGAGCAAACAGATCACGTGACAGAAATTTATGTCTACGCATGCTCTATTTCTTTGACTGCTGTAATTCAAGACAGCCGAACTAGAAATATTAATCAACCATCGTAATCGTAAACAACGAATTTTGTTTTCCTATCGTAAAACCCGAAGACTTTAGGGATTTTTTACTACCCATAGTCTCTCTCGGTCTAGTCCCAAAGGTATCGCCTGGTCGATGACATAAAAAAAAAAAAGAAATGAAAATATATGTAACCAAATTAACATGTACTTAGCTTTATCATACGAATGGAAGCACAACGAAAAATGTTGCAAAATGACTTACCATACTCGCCTCTCGGAGCTCTCCAAATGATAAAATAAGAATATCGAGCCCAACTGATAGAGGTTTAACTAAACAAAAAAACAAAAAGAAAAACAGAGAAAATTTTTAAGCGCCAATAGTTGTATCATTAAATGTCTATTTTCAAAAGTCGCATCGATGGTATAGTGGTTAGCATAGCTGCCTTCCAAGCAGTTGACCCGGGTTCGATTCCCGGTCGATGCATTACCGTTTGACCTACCCCGTTCACCTCTTCTTTTTAAATCTCACCTTCATGTTGCCGGTGTAAAACCATTAGGAGATATTTATTTTCCTTTATAATATTAATATTAATATTTCATAATAACTATAATTTGCCTCGTCTCATTGTCAAAGTAGTGTGGATCCACGAGGCGTGGCACAGGCGTAGACTCAAAAAAAAACAAACAAACGAAAAAAAACAAAAAAACAACAACAACAAAAAAACCTAACGTAAGTTTGTCTTTTACAATAACAAAAATAATAAGAAAAACAATAAAAACTTTTCGATTTTTTGTCATAATTAAATTGTCTAAAGTAGGATTAATAATAATTATTTATTCTATTTTTAGTGTATTCCATCTGAAACAAATATACCAACTGCATGTAGATAGTTAATTGCTGTATATTTACTTTTTATTTCAAATTAATGAGATACGCAATGCCCTTTAGTCTTACTATTCAGCATGCAGTATTCAGCATTCAACTTTTCTTGAAATAGTTGTAAATGATAAAAGAACAATATTGCTATATGGTAATGTGTCATTGCTTCAAGAAATTATTTCGTAAAACTTATATTCAAGTCGCATCGGTGGTATAGTGGTTAGCATAGCTGCCTTCCAAGCAGTTGACCCGGGTTCGATTCCCGGTCGATGCATTCATTTTGACCGGCCCGTCAATTTTTAATATCGCGCGCACCATGTAAATTCCGTTTGGCCTATTCTTAGAAACCGGATTTCGGTTAAATTTTGTCTTACCCTACTCCCTGGCATCGAATAGCTCGCGCGCGTGCTCTTCCCGTTTGTGTTTTGATAACTAAAAACAAGATCGAAATAACAAATGGAAAGAGCCAAAAAACCATTCAATTTATTTGTCAATATTTAAGAGACGTAAAATAACCTCTGAGTACTTAAAGAAACCCTTGCATGGATACTGGTCAACGAGCGCGCGCGGTTTCCTTTCGATTGTCTTGATAACTAAAAGCGAGAGGTTTTTTATCGTTTTTCTTATTATTTTTGTTATTGTAAAAGACGACTCGCCTAAAGGTTTGCCAGAATACTCCTTGACTCGTAAAAATACACAGCCATATCAGATGCTTAGCCCAATGATAACCTCTATATATCAAGCAGTGTCAAAGCTTGAACAATATAATTCATAAAATACAAAGTTAAAGTCGCATCATCTTTAATATTAACTATGATCTATTAGCAATGTTTGCATCGATGGTATAGTGGTTAGCATAGCTGCCTTCCAAGCAGTTGACCCGGGTTCGATTCCCGGTCGATGCATTCCTTTTGACCTACCCCTTTCATCTCTTCTTTTTAATATTCACCTCCAATTTTTTTTTCACGTAAAAAAAACCACTGAGGACGTAAATGTTCGTTTTCTCAACAACATGAGAGGCAAAATGAAATAATAGACCAGTTTCGAGTTCCATAGGGCATGTTTGAAAGTCACATTTACATATTTTTTACAATAGCATGAAGATGTTTCGACTAATTTGCATACGGACTTAGAGAATGCGGTGCCTGTTTTCAATCGTGTCGTTCTCATGTTTGTAAAAATTGCATAAAAAGCAATCTGAAAATGATTCGCAACTCATTGCGAGGCGTCTTTTATTATAATCAAATATCGAAAAATCACTATCGTTGTTATCATTATTTTTAGATTAAGAAAATCAAAAACATTTAAGATTTATTGATATTGTCATTAGCTGACCTTCATAAAATGGTCTTATTCTCTTGTCGTACTGTGCGAACACTGCATCCAGTAACTTTGACACATTTCTTCCGGGTTCGACGTACTGCTCGTACTTCATTTTAAACTCTCTGTTCGACCTTCAAAACAAAAATGGAATAACTGTTTATGCATGCCATAAGTTATCAAAACACTAAATCTAACAATAAAAACGCTTTTGATTTACTAACTTTTCATTACATGAACTATCTAAGGAAATTATTTTTCTCAAAGATCAGTGTTTTCTTTTACTGAGACTTGAAAAGTCTCGGCATTTTTGAAATTTCCATTCCGTTTAAGATTTTAAAGTTAACTCTTTGTAGAGAGCTCATTCTTTGAATTAACAGTTGATAACCCTAGATACGATGTTGCTCTTATCAATGTTTGGAGAATGCTTTTTTTTGGTTTTAATTTGTTTGTTTGTTTATGAAACTTACGTATTTTTTTCTGCTTCATCAATATTTGTTGTTGGAGAAAATGTAGTTGGTGTTTCTGTCGTCATGTGATGAGACAGCCAAATTGTTTTTAGGTTTCTGCAAAAAATACAAAAAAAAAAAAAAAGTCAACAAAGGTGTTGGAAGTACATGTGACATCATGTCACCGCTATGGTGGGTGACGTAATAACATCATTTCTTTTATTATGTCAACCAAAATGGTCGCAACCTCTTTTCTTCCTCTTTTTATGGAAGGGTTTATCTATTGGCTATACTATTGTTTAACTGCAATGAGAAAATACAGAGAACGCAAAAAGTACTTAGAATGTAACCTCTGGCATAAATAGAGCATGCATATTGTATATTGTATGCACACAATGTATTGCAGCAACAGGTAATATTTCGGGATGCAAGTGATGATCCTGAGATTCCCGGTACTGAATCGGCGAGGGTACGTCAGATTAAAAAATATATATATTTCACACGCGCTGAAAAGGGAATGTTAAAAAAGTCAGAGTCCCTGATAGGAATCGAGCACATGACTTTTCAGATACCAGTCAGGTGCTCTAGCCACTAAGCTACAGGAAAGACTTGTGATGAGCGATCAATATAGCTTTTTACCATAACTTGGAAATTTCTCGCGCGCTGATTGGCTCAAGACCATTGTCGATTAGAGGCTAGACCTGCAGGCTTGTGCTTACGACATCCGTCACGCGCACTGCGCGAGTGGATGAAAGATTTTTCAAACTATTTACTTGTCTTATTGTTCATTTTTTTCGACTTTGTTGTGGAAAAAAACAAATCAAAGTCAGTTTTCTATGGGTCTGTATTGTAATCAAACATGAAATGACGTCAAAAATTATCCAAACTTTGCAGTGAAACCACTTGCTGCGTTCGTGGTCCCACTTGAGCTTGGATCATTCTTGACGCCATTTCATGTTTAATTACAGTACAGACCCATAGGAAACTGACTTCGATTTGTTAAGTCACGCTCATTTATCTATAGAGCATAGCCACAAATGCATGGGACATTAAATTAGCTTGGTCAGTTTTTACAGTACATCTGCATGATATAACTAGGGATACTCATAAACTAAGATTCCACATGGGTACTATTTGCAAACCGCGTCAGTTTGCAAAACAAATCAGTTTATTTACCCCTGCCTTTCTATTAACAATTCCAAGATTTAGGAACTACCTTAGTCGAGCTGGCATGGCAGTCAGTCATTGTGTGGCTGTTTACAGACAGTCATATACAAGGGGACATTTCCAAGGTGGCGTCTACATCGTCCCTCAAAACAGTAAAACAATGCACTGCCATGCGTATTCGACCTAGGTGTTTTCTCCACTCCTCGGAATGGCTACTATGTTCAAAGATTGTACAAAACAATTGCTTACTCCTCGGTCTTGGCTGTGGGAATAGTTTGACTTCCATTGGAAGGAACTGTAGGGTTTGATTTGATATTCGTATCAGTGCTTGGTTCGGTCGTTTGATTCCTGCATAAAAAAGATATTGTTTTAATAGGTCAATCAGTATCAGCATGGGCGTCAGGGGTACCCACATTTCAAACTAAGCGTCATTCCATTCAGTATTGTTTCTTTGTTTAACGCTTGAAAAGATAGATTAATAACATGCAAGCCAAACTGCATTGAGTCGTATTCCTAAGGGAAATACATTTGCTTTGAATTAAGCAAACTTTAAGTTGATTGAATTTAATATAGAATGAGAACATTTTATGAGCCGGGAATCCTTAAGTATTCGTCTCGTGCCCTAAAACTTTTGCTAGGGTCATTCGTAAATTGATAAAAAGCAATAAACTTTAAAACTATACACAAGAGAATATGAACTAATATACATGATTATATTCAAATCCATCGGCCTCGTGTGCTCAGTAATCATTAAGTCTGTTATTCTTTCGGTGCAGAGCAGTTAAAAGTAGCTAAGGAAGGACACCGATTGAGGAAGATAGGGTGCCTGTTTTAAATGTGTTTTGGCTATATACTGGGGTAATTGCAATATGGTTAATTTGTATTAGTGGTTTTCAGCTGCAGTATTTGAATAACAAAAACGAAAAAAAATCAGGTTCGTTCAGGTCTTTTCACGGACTTAGAAAATATGATTTAGTTTATAATTTAGTCTGCTTTGTTGTGGTTTTAGGTTCACTCGAAGTGAAGGTATCTACTTAGGCTTTCGGAAAACTGTTTGCCTGTTTGTTGAAAATTTGAATATTTCAAATAATCTTTGTCAATGTAAATTATACTCAAAGTTTCGAAACCAAAGTTCAGGAAAAAGGCAAATAATTCATTCATAGCGACGGAAATCGGAAAGTTTTTGCAAGCAAAAAAAAAAAAACAATATAATATTTAGCTGCGCTTGGTACTGAACTTAAGCCCAACTGTAGGGCTGACCCCATAAATACAAATCATTGGGTTTTGCTTATGTTCGATCAAAAAGATTCAGAAAAATGCTCATCAAAAAGATTCAGAAAAATGCTCAGGAATACAATGCTTCTAAAACAATGAAGACCAATGCATCACTAATGGTGTATATTGGTTTTCACAACATTGTAATAGCGTTACTTACCTTGGAATATAGATAGAATCGACGAAGCAAATGTTCCATATCAATACCAAACCAAGGATTCGCTTCATCGGAAAAGGGAACTATGGAGAAAGAGAACCAAATTTGACCAGGTATTCAAGCAAGCAACTTGTCGGCATATCGTCAGCGAATTGAAAATCAAAGTACTTTTGGATTATAAAACAAAATGTATTTCTAATCCTGTCGTTGATATGTGACTTCCTCAGAAGAACTATGGACAGAAGGCAAATACAGGAGCATCATTGCTCAGAGCGAAAGATTATTTTCTGATGTACATGTAGTTTCATTCTAAACAAGGCTATATTTAATTAAGGGAGAACAATAGCCTCGGAATTAAGCTTAAAAAGTTAATTAATCATAACGTAACTCGCGCATTTTCTGTCCACAATGTATAGTTGTCTGTGGTTGGTCATTTGTGAAGCAGTCAAGAATATTGAAAGGGACTAAAACTTGAAGCAAGGTTCAAAGCACACAAAATGAAAATAAGAACTTTTATCAAAAATTAAACTAGCAAATACCATGGTCATAATATGAACATAAATAGACAGAAATTATTCAATCAAAAACACTATAATATTATTTAGTATCATGCCGCTTGCTCATGGTTTTTTCAGTGATAGTTTGCACACAAACGATAAAAACCACGAGGTTTCGATGTTTTTTTTGTCCTCTATTAAACGCAGAAACTACATCGTACCTTATAACCTACCACAATTTCTCAAACTTCAGCGATTTTGAACGAAGCATATACATATCGGTTTTGAACAGATAACTGAAACCAGGATTAAGTGATATGCCGCAGCAATCATCCATATGTATATATATGATCAGTTTTTATAGAACTTTTAGTCACCTGAGTGAAAAGGTCCCAAGTAAGACTGCCATGCATTAGATAAATTTTAAGATGTCCAACCGTTAGATGTGATGAACATGAAATATTTTACCAGTTATAGTTTCACTTTCTGTTAACATCCACATACACTTCGTTGTAGAAGAAGGTTTCAGCTGCTTAATTATCATTGTATCCGTTATGTATCACCTCGTACGTGCTTTAGTTAAATAAATAATGCGGGGATTAACAGTGGATTCCACAGAGTGGCTCTTCTTCCACTGGATTCCAATTGGAACTTAGAAGTTGATTTTTTGCGGAGGGAGGAAAGCCGGACAACCTGGAAAACCCTCGAAGAACAGGAGAGAATTAACAAGCACCTCTACTCACATACGACGCCGAGCTCAGCAGGACTCGAACCCGAGTCCCATTGGTGAGAGGCGAGCGCTCTCACCGCTACGCCACCCGTGCTCAGTTCCCATTTTCCATAGTTGCCTCTGTAGATCATGCTATGAATAGTACTTCTAAGAACCTACTTCGACATAGATGATATACTTTCATGTGAATAATTCACTGTTGAAGTGTATATTGCTCAATATAGCTGAAGATGGATGTTGGACATGTCAAAGTTTAAAAGAGTTATTGTTTTTTCATTTACTATGGAACTTGAGGCACGTTAATTATTTTTTCCTAATCTGAAAGGGATAACTGAAGATGTTACAGATTTATTATTTAGCGGCCAGGCCGATAAGTATTGAGTATTGTAGTACTGCTTCCTGCTTAAAGACCTTATCAAAGAAAGACATGTCCAAATCTATATGAAAATTCAATTTAATTGTTACTGAAAAGATAAACCGCGCAGCTTTTGTTGAAAATATTTTCTTTCCGTTTCTTTTTAATCTAGCATGGTTTAAGCACTTATTTTCATGGGACGACATGAGCTAGCCAATCAAGAAGAAGACGAAGAAAAAATGGATGAAATGATTGTATTTTTGTTCGGAAGGAATGCAGCGTATAGGAAGCATTACTTCACGTGTGCTGTTATGCTGTCCGTCAAGTCTGACTCATCAATACGAAAAACGAAAACAAAGCGTATGGAGCCGCTGAGAGAGAAAGAGATAGATGTAAAAGAAAATAGAAAGTGGCAGAGAAAGGAAGAAATAAGGAAAAAAATAGAGAATAGAAGGACTGAAGACGGGAAGAAGTATTGAAGGAGTGCATGAATGAGCGAAGGAAAGTAACAAACAAACAACAACACCAACTACAAAAAAGAAAAGAAAATAAAAAAATAAAAAAATAATCGATCAATAAGAGATACTTTCTGCATGGCTATGCCTGCTTTACTTTTTGTTCAAAATGAAGCATCATCAACAATCCATTTTTGACATGCTCGAAATAAAAGCTAGATACAAATTTTCTTCGCGATACTGACATTTTTATTTATTTAGATACGTTTTTCAATAAGTATAGGAAATCGCACGATCTCGAGTACAATTCGGAAATTATAGGTACGAGTGATGTTTTGAAAGTTTTGAGAGCTTTTAAAGCATTTCGAGTATCTATAAATTCAAAATTGTACGAGAAGAAAAATTAAGCAACTTACGAGAACAAAATTAAGTAACTTAATTGGGATTCTACAGAGTACACTTAATTGTGCTCCTCTTGTCGAATCAGAATCGAGTAACTTTGTTGAGTGTATTATAAATTTAAAAAGTGCAAATGAATTTAAGGTGTTTGAAGCTTTTGAAAACAAATAGAACTAAATATTAGAAGGAAACTCTGAAGACTGTTTTTTGTCTACGCAAATCTATACTGAAGTGACTTAAGACACCTTGTAAGGTGTTGATGAAGATATTAGTACAGGTAGGGCAAGCTTACAACATGCAATCAAGCAATGTTCTACTAGAAACAGCTAGTTTAAGGCGTATTATTGTAAATTGGTTTTGACGGTCAGCTCTCTTTACTTCGAAAATGCATGATAATAGACGGTTTTGCACTATAATGAAGTCCTTATAAATGATTTATGTTTTTTTGGGAATTACTAATCAAAGGCTTATCACCGAACATCTGTAACCACTATGTAAGATCGACTCAGAATTTAAAACGCTTGGTTCTCGAGTGTTGAGTCTCATGTATAGAACTATTTTTTTTTTACATTTTTGCTCATGCTTTCTTTGGGCAAGAAAGAAAGAAAGAAAAAAAGAAAGAAAAGAAAAATGAAGGAGAGAAATCAATCAATTGTCACAAAGGGAAAATCTGTTTTGCACTTTTGCGAATAAAAATATAAATAGCTGTAGTGAACAAAACACAAATGTTACTGCAAATATTACTTACGGTCGAAAAAATATCTGTTTTATTGGAAACAACTTAATTTGAACTTCATTATAGGCTCTTGTGTTTTTATGTGATCTCTCTGCTGTGAGATAGTGACGGATATAACGTCTGTAGAAATATAGAGTAAGATACTAATAGCGTAGAAAATAATAGCTGGACACATTTGGATCATTAGACGGCCCTGCCAACCTGTATCTAAGAGGGATGATGCGGTTGTTTAACTAGAAACCTTTTGAAACCAATTCGCTGATCATAGAAAATAATTAAATTCTGACTTTGAAAGAAAGAAAAAATTCCCACAAGGAACGAAAGAGATTAAACTGTACAGCTACTACCGGATATTGCAACAGAAAAATGTTTTTACTGATTCAGTTATTACATTAAAAAATACTGGTTTATTTAAGCGTTTTTATGACCCTCTTGCTAATAAAGATGATAATGAAGATGTATGTGAAAATGGTATAGTGAATATATTTGTAATATTATTACTTAGCTATCTTTCAAATTTTCACTCAATTGTCTAGGCTCGAGCTGTTTTATCAGATTTCTTGCATATGTATATACCTTTTTGGCAGTTAGTTTTCTATTTTTATGACGTCCAGAAAATACGAAAAACGAAATTGAATGAACTAATAGAGAGTTGTAATATGWAGTGGCAATCCTGAGTGAAGATAAACGAGTATGTTGTCACAGGATCTTTTAGCATTAAAATTTATTTTATTCAATTATAAGCAAATACCCTCGAAAAACTATAATTATTTGTACTTCTCGTTTTGGATAACTTAAAGTAAAAAGTACTATGTAATTATCGCACTAGGATATATATCTGGCCAAGAAATAATAAAAAAGATATATAATAAAAATGTTAATTAAAGAAAGCCATAGGAAGATGAGAAAATGTATCTAGTCTTTTTTTTCCTCGACTAGTCAGTTTTTAAATTTTATTTTCGATTTTGTTGTCAACATAGCGAGCGGATATCTTAGAGGTCTGTTGAAGTTATAAAGCTATTTTTTCTCAACTTACCTTGTTGACAAGGAACCTTCTTCCAGTAAACAAGCCGGCCGACCACTAGGTCTTTATGCATACCGAAGTGAAAACTTGCTAGATCAATGAACACTTTCATTCAGTGTCATTGTAAACTCGTTATTTATTTATATGGGAGCGAAGTGCATTTGAAAGCTGTTTTTAATATTGTCTGATTGATGTGCAAAACAAAAAAGGTTAACAGGGACCGTGCATAGCATTAATTTACGGTGGGGGAGGAGGAGAGTGGGCTGTGGCCTTACTAGGAGTGAGAGGGATAGGGTTATATTGGTTATATTGGGATTTAGTTTTTCTTTAGGACAAAAAAGATTCAAAAATTCGAAGTTTAGGTCAAATTCTCCCCTACCCTCCTTCCTCTGAACAAAGGCACTGATTGCGTTGGCTCCTAGTGCTGGGTTCGAACCTTGGCGGTTTGGGTGTCGCATGTAAATAGAGTTGTTTGTTGGTTCTCTCCTGTGCTTCGAGGGTTTTTCCTCCGGGTTCTCTGGTTCAGTTTCGTAGGTCCACAAAGATTAACTTCTAAATTCTAATTCGATCTACCGGCTGCCTTGTCATTTGGATTGCAAAACCTGTTAGAATCAAGCCGTCCATCGGCCTAGTAGCGTTAATTGCATTAGAACTGTCTTTCCTTATTATTCCGTTTGAATAAGGAAATAAATATCAATAGTCACTAGTGAGCAAAACACCCACTCGAGTCAATTAGTTAGTCATAATTGGAACCGAGAATTAGCTAGGTTAAGTGTGTCTAGACTTGATGTTTAAGCTTTTTATGAAATCAATATTTAATATAGACGCAAGTTAAGTAATAATATTGTGACGAGCTTACTTTTCGAAAGTGCCTAATTGAGTCATAC